GTGCGGCTGCCAAAGTGATGCTCATGAAGAATTTATTCCGCGTCTTCATCAACGCGTCTTGCTGATGTCACCTGAAGAATCTTCCTCGAAGGCGCTATCGTTAGGGCAGCATGGAACAAAAGGGTAGCTTTGCGGGGGATTTAGTGTGCCGAAACAGGTTTAAATATTCATGTCTTCTTTACAAGTGTGTAATGGTAGTTAGCTCGAGCGTTAAGCTGCTGAGATTGTCATCTCTAGCCATTGATTCTGTCGTTGATGCAGTAAACATGATATAGTGGTATATACAAGGTGCCGAGTTTATATATAGATGCTATTCATAATTCATTGTTTCTGGGGAGATCGAGTACGTCTTTCACAAAGTTTGCAAGCGTTCTGTATAATCATCCAGTACTAGTACACCGGCCTGGGACGCTGGGCCTGGTGATTACTGAGTATACTAATTAGTATATTCACCTGGTATAGCATCGTGGGATGCTGGCCTTGTTGGTGTCGGCCTGGAGTGCCACATTTGATATTTAGGAGGGAAAATCCTTTTGGCTTTCCCGAAACCAGTAAGGGATCACACACGGTTCGTTGACACGGGATTTGGCTCTCCCGGTACCATAAATAACACGAGAACAGAGGAATACCGCTCGTCAACTTCATTACCGTATTTATAAATTAAAGTTAATGAGTGTTTCTTAGGTCTGCAGGGCTTAGGCAATCGTCTCCAGTCGGTCTTCTTCACGGGTTGAAAGGCGTGCAGTACATTGGACGACAGCACATCACCAATACCTTGTTTCATTATGTACGCTTTTGCAACGAAATCTATACCCGCCATAGAACTAGCTGTCCGCCTCTCGCACTCTCAGTGCTACAGTCACAACGAACTCAAAGTGACTACCTACTTTAGTTCATTATAACCGTTATTCGTTATAAACATCTATACAGCATATATACAGCAAATGTTCGTTTTATCAGTCAGTTCGTTATAAGCGTGTTCGTTATAAACGTAGTTTACTGTATTTTGGATATTCACCTAGTAGAGAATCATGGGGTGTGAGTTTTGTACTGTTAGTAATTGTTCTATATATTCAGCCAGCAAGAGTTCTTGAAAGGTTAGGTGTGGTATGTAATGCGATTATTGCACAGGATGAGGAATTGGTTCACATGTAGTCTTTGCATGAAAGAATATTTAGGTTTTGTTACTGCAAGTAAACTCGCGTTTTATGAACAGTCTAAATTTAAATAAATGGTTGGAATTTAACATCCCCCACACAGAGGTTGGTTGGTTTGTTGTTTAACGCCGCACTCAGCAATATTCCAGCTATATGACGGCGGTCTGTAAATAATCGAGTCTGGACCAGACAATCCAGTGATTGACATCACGAGCATCGATCCACGCAATTGGGATACGATGACATGCATCAACCAAGTCAGCGAGCCTGACAACCCGATCCCGTTAGTCGCCTCTTACGACACGCATAGTCACCTTTTACGGCAAGCATGGGTTGCTGTAGACCTATTCTACCCCGGAATCTTCACGGGTCCCAACACAGAGGGATTTCGAAGAATGTGCAGTCTAGTGTCGTGCAAGATGAGTTCTATTTAGTGCTGTTTTGTCATGCGTCAACTATGTTTATACTTTCCTTTTGAATATGACTGTTACCTTTTCCTGTGCTTAATATGATTCATGTACGTGCTTGATGTATTCACAACAATCATGTAATTAGATGGAATTTGGGGGGCTGGTTCATAGACAACCGACCATCAACGTGGCTTAGTGGACAGAGCGTCTGATCGGAGAGCGGAAGGTCAGTGACTTGATCCCCGGTCACGCCATACCAAAAGACGGTATGTGTCGTTACCATGCCTGGCGCACGGCATTGAGGGGCTAAAACAAGGACTGGGCCCACTTGCACAAAGCGATCTTAGCGCTAAGATGATCGTAACTCCCATACTTTAACATAGGCCTACAATAGTCTTAGCGCTAAGATCGCTTTGTGCAAGTGGACCCTGGTCGTCTAAGAGTCTATGTACTGTGTCTGAGTTGGGTATTCATGTTAAAATCTGGCAAGGTATCTCAGTGGGCAAGCACTAACCCCCCCCCCCCCCCCCCCCCCTCTCTCTCTCTCTCTCTCTCTCACACACACACACACACTAACACTAACACTAACACTTACACACACACGCACTAACACACACACACACACGTGTGCATGCACGTCGCTATATAAGTGCAATAATATTGAATGCGACGTTAAACCCCATGTCACCTCGTCACCTCATCTACAACCAAATTACCTGTATTTTTAGTAACACGATATAATTATTTGGCTACTGTTTATTTGGTCTCCTGTGATATTCCCAAATGAATGTCCTCATCATTGGTTCATTATTTGGGAGACCGTGCGAGAATATTTCTGATGAGGAATTGTCTCTTGAAGCAGTACCTATCGAAACTGATTTGTCGGCGGGATATTACACTGTACGACCCAAGGAATATACGACGGCTGTCTATACGGGATGTTCAGGCATCAATGCGTAGGGACTATGCAAGAGGGTGGAGGGGGTGGGGGATGGATGTGGAGATGTGGAGGGTGGGGGGTGGATGGTAGGAGGTGGGTGTACAGGGGGGACAAATGGATGTTTGTGTGTGTGTGTGTGTTGGTGGGGGGTGGGGGTAGCACAAACCAGGTCACTATTACAAGAACTCATGATAGGGTGACTGACACAGGTAAATACTCAAAGTCCACCCTACGCATGGCATTTGTTCCATGTTGTGAAGTATCAAGCCTATTTCTTCCTGTGTAAAAATTGAGAAATATATGATGTGGTTCGGGTCCATGTCCAGGTCCAGGACCAGATAAATGGTTCAGGTCCGACAATGAATGTCAAACAACCACGACAAACTCTCCTCCATCATCTGAACGTAGACATAACATTTTACTTTACATCACAGCATATTTCTTCACAGTCCACTTACACATTTTAGAATGTAGAGAAAGATTATATTACGTCCTAATGCACACAGGCACTTACCACAACGTATGACTTCTGTCAACGGTATCAGTGACAGTGGATGTGGAAAAGACTGGTGGTACTATATGCATCTAGATATTGACATATATAAATGCGACATGTTTGGCATGGTCTTCACACGTGTCTTCATGTTTCAGGATATTTGGCAGGGGCTTCACACGCGGGTTTCACGTTTAGGGATGTTTGGCAGGGGCTTCACACGTGGTTTCACGTTTAGGGATGTTTGGCAGAGGCTTCACACGTGGTTTCACGTTTAGGGATGTTTGGCAGTGACTTCACACGTGGTTTCACGTTTAGGGATGTTTGGCAGGGGCTTCACACGTGGTTTCACGTTTAGGGATGTTTGGCAGGGGCTTCACACGTGGTTTCATGTTTAGGGATGTTTGGCAGTGGCTTCACACGTGGTTTCACGTTTAGGGTTGTTTGGCAGGGACTTCACACGTGTCTCAAGTTTCAGGATATTTGGCAGGGGCTTCACACGCGTGATTTCACGTTTAGGGATGTTTGGCAGGGACTTCACACGTGGTTTCACGTTTAGGGATGTTTGGCAGTGGCTTCACACGTGGTTTCACGTTTAGGGATGTTTGGCAGGGGCTTCACACGCGGGTTTCACGTTTAGGGATGTTTGGCATGGAGTTCACACGTGTCTTCAAGTTTCAGGATATTTGGCAGGGGCTTCACAGGTTTCTTCATATTTCAGGATGTTTGGCATGGACTTCACACGTGGCTTCATATTTCAGGATGTTTAGCAGGGGCTTCACACCTTTCTTCATATTTCAGGATGTTTAGCATGGACTTCACACGTGGCTTCATGTTTCAGGATGTTTAGCAGGGGCTTCACAGGTTTCTTAATATTTCAGGATGTTTAGCATGGACTTCACACGTGTCTTCATGTTTCAGGATGTTTAGCATGGACTTCACACCTTTCTTCATATTTCAGGATGTTTAGCATGGACTTCACACGTGGCTTCATATTTCAGGATGTTTGGCAGGGGCTTCACACGTGGTTTCACGTTTAGGGATGTTTGGCAGTGGCTTCACACGTGGTTTCACGTTTAGGGATGTTTGGCAGGGGCTTCACACGCGGGTTTCACGTTTAGGGATGTTTGGCATGGAGTTCACACGTGTCTTCAAGTTTCAGGATATTTGGCAGGGGCTTCACAGGTTTCTTCATATTTCAGGATGTTTGGCATGGACTTCACACGTGGCTTCATATTTCAGGATGTTTAGCAGGGGCTTCACACCTTTCTTCATATTTCAGGATGTTTAGCATGGACTTCACACGTGGCTTCATGTTTCAGGATGTTTAGCAGGGGCTTCACAGGTTTCTTAATATTTCAGGATGTTTAGCATGGACTTCACACGTGTCTTCATGTTTCAGGATGTTTAGCATGGACTTCACACCTTTCTTCATATTTCAGGATGTTTAGCATGGACTTCACACGTGGCTTCATATTTCAGGATGTTTGGCAGGGGCTTCACAGGTTTCTTCATATTTCAGGATGTTTAGCATGGACTTCACACGTGTCTTCATGTTTCAGGATGTTTGGCAGGGGCTTCACAGGTTTCTTCATATTTCAGGATGTTTAGCATGGACTTCACACGTGGCTTCATATTTCAGGATGTTTAGCATGAACTTCACACGTGGCTTCATGTTTCAGGATGTTTAGCAGGGGCTTCACACCTTTCTTCATATTTCAGGATGTTAAGCATGAACTTCACACGTGGCTTCATGTTTCAGGATGTTTAGCAGGGGCTTCACAGGTTTCTTCATATTTCAGGATGTTTAGCATGAACTTCACACGTGGCTTCATGTTTCAGGATGTTTGGCAGGGGCTTCACAGGTTTCTTCATATTTCAGGATGTTTAGCATGGACTTCACACCTTTCTTCATATTTCAGGATGTTTGGCATGGACTTCACACGTGTCTTATGTTTCAGGATGTTTAGCATGGACTTCACACGTGTCTTATGTTTCAGGATGTTGTAGCAGTGATGCAGTCCCACAGTTCCATGGTCGTGGTTCTCTGGCTGGCGGTACTGTGCTGTGACGTCAGTGGCTTCTCCATCAGGCGTCGCGAGTCGCCCAGCACGGATCTCTCCGAGGCCTTCCGAGTTTTGGAGCGTCAGCGGCGGCGGATCCGAGAGGAGGACTATCTGGCTGCCTCACGGCTGCCCGAGCCCCGAGTACAGCTCTCACCCTCAGATCTTGAAGACTGGGGTCAGGGGGTACCTAGCAGGTAAATTGAGTATTACGAGTGAGTGAATGATTGTTGTTTTACACCGCAGACAGTTATATCCCAGCCATATCACAGCGGCATGTATATAATCCAGACTGGAGCAGGCTAATCAGTGCCTGTTATCATAGCAACCATCTACGCCTTTTGGGAACGATGTCATGAAAACAGCTAGTACTAATTTTCTGCCTCACTTGTTTGCTTTCACGACTATTGAACACGCAGCTGGTTCAACTCTTGTACTTTCTTTTTCAGGGAGGAGGAGGAGGAGTGGTTGCAAAATGCTTATGGTTTGTCGCCTTATGATGAGGGTTCATATGCAGTTCCCGAGCTTGTAGATGAATCAAGTGAGTCAAATGAAGACCGTGTACCCGAGACAGTGGAAACATCAAAAGAAGAATTACAAAGCATATTTGGAGACTCAGAGAATGGTGTAAAAAGCCAGGATGCTGTTGAAGAACATTCAGAGGATGAAGTACAAGATACCGGAAAAGAGGTTACAGAAAAAAATGAAACTGAAGAAACTGGAAACGAATTAGAAAATCTTACTGAAGACGAATTCAAAGCGTTAATGAGCGCGGTAGAAAAAATACAGAAAAGAGCTTTAAGTAAAAAAGACACCCAAAATAGTGCTATTAAAGTCCCGACAACGGACCCAGTGCCTGTTAGTAAAGAGGAGTTGAGTGAAGTGTTTGATGACTCAGAGGATGGCACTGAACCTGACTCGGAGGCTGTTGTAGATGAAGTTGCAGATGTTGCCATCGGGGGACCGGCCCCTCCCAGGGGAGAAGAGCTTCAGGAAGTCAACGACCAAGTAGCGAACGAAGATCGTTTGGGCGAAAAGGATCCGTTATCGTCCATAGAGAATTATTGGTTGCTAAAGGATTACTTTAACGGTGATGAGAAACGAAAGAAGAGGTTTACGAAACGGGCACCTGTTGCCCAACCCCCAAACTCAGTGCCTCTGGAGGAAACCTACATGCAAGAGATCCAAACGCTCCGAGATGAGATCCAGCAGCTGAAGATGGTTTCAGAACTTGAGGATCTGGAAAACGATGCTCTGACCCAGACGTTGAATGAAGCCACGCTGTCTCAGATGGAAGGCACGGTGTCAGAAAAGGAGTTCGGCTCTCTGGAGCAGGCCATTAAACTTGAGGAAGCTCTGCAGGATCTTAAGAACGGCAAGGTTGATCCTCTCATCGTGGAACTGATCGCTGCCAATGCTCTTGGTGGCGGTGGCGGGATGAAACGCGGAGAGCCGGTTTGGAAGAAGGAGAAGAGGATGGATGAAGCGGATCTGGAACAGAGCTATCCAATGTTTCCCAGTGACAAGCGAGCGGCCAAGAGGATGTTGATGCTGCCTAGCAACAAGAGGTCCCCCAAGCGGGTGCAGGAGGAGGAAGTGAATCACTGGTATGACCGACCCCTCAGAGAGGACGCGGAGCGGGAGGAGGAACAGAAGTACCTTGATGCCCAGGATGGTGAGTGACATACACTTGATTGGTTAACCCGAACCCTGATATACCGAGTACCGCAGACATTCGCTTTTGTCTGTATCACTCGCAACACTGCGGCACACCCATGTCCAGCAGCACACCCATTCACTCACCATCGGCTTCACCAAGTACCACACCCACACCTTGACTCACAACAAACACCCACCACATCCACCCACACCACACCCACACTCACACCCACACCACACCACACCCACAAAACACCACACCCACACCCACACCCACACCCACACCCACACCACACCACACCCACAAAACACCACATCCACACCGACACCCACAACAAACCACATCTACAAAACACCACACCCACACCACACCACACCCACACTCACACCCACACCACACCACACCCACAAAACACCACACCCACACTCACACCCAAACCACACCCACAAAACACCACACCCACACTCACACCCCACCACACCCACACTCACACCCACACTAACACCCACACCACACCACACCCACAAAACACCACACCCACATCGCACCCACAAAAGACCATACCCACTTACACCCCACCCACATTACACCAACACCACAACAAACACCCACCATACCCACACCCATTAAGCACCACACCACACCCACACCCATACTCACACCCACACCACACCACACCACACCCACACCCACGCCCACACCCACACCACACCACACCCACACCACACCACACCACACCACACCACACCACACCCACAAAACACCACACCACACCACACCACACCACACCACACTCACACCTACACCACACCACACCACACCACACCACACCACACCCACACCCACACCACACCACACCCACACCACACCACACCACACCCACACCACACCACACCACACCACACCACACCAAACCCACACCCACACCACACCCACACCTTCACTCACAACAAACACCCACCATACCCACACCCACACTCACACCCACACCACACCACACCACACCCACACCACACCACACCACACCCACACCTTCACTAACAACAAACACCCACAAAACACCACACCCACACTCACACCAAGCCCCACACCACACCCACACCCACACCCACACCACACCCACACCCACACCCACACCCAAACCACACCACACCACACCACACCACACCCATACCACACCACACCCACACCCACACTCACACCCACACCACACCACACCACACCACACCACCCCACACCCACACCCACACCCACACCCACACCCACACCCACACCACATCACACCACACCACACCCACACCCACACCACACCACACCCACACCTTCACTAACAACAAACACCCACAAAACACCACACCCACACTCACACCAAGCACCACACCACACCCACACCCACACCCACACCCACACCACACCCACACCACACCCACACCCACACCCACACCACACCCACACCCACACCCACACCACACCACACCACACCACACCACACCACACCCACACCCACACCCACACCACACCACACCACACCTAACCCACACTCACACCCCCACCTCACCCACACCCACACCCACACCCACACCACACCACACCACACCCACACCTTCACTCACAACAAACACCCACAAACACAACACCCACACCACACCACACCACACCCACACCCACACCCACACCACACCCACACCTTCACTCACAACAAACACCCACAAAACACCACACCCACACTCACACCAAGCACCACACCACACCCACAAAACACCACACCCACATTACACCAACACCAACACCACAACACACCACCACCAAATCGTACTCACACCCACACACACCCACACACACACACACCCACACACACACACACACACACCCACACACACACCCACACCCGCACACCCACACCCACATCCAAGCCCACACCCAAGCCCACAACAACACCCCCACCCCCACACACACCCACACCCGCACCCACACACCCACACCCCCACACCCACACCCACACCCACACCCACACCCACACCCACTCCCACACCCACACCCACACCCACACCAACGCCCACGCCCACACCCACACTTCACACCACACCCACCAGTTCTAAATATATGCATGGAAGACAAAACAGCTATGTAAACAATATCCCTACAAGAAAATGGCATAATGCTTACACAACAACCCGTGATCCAGATGAAATGCTGTGATATGCTTGCTGGGTTTTCTTTGCATTAAACCTTTTAAGGGTTCTATGCGTTATAGATGTGTTGTGGTGACATCATCAGCACGAAACGGGTGATAATAACGTGTGCGGTTATCTAAGTACTCTGGCAGTGCATGCATCGCGTATAGATTTAACATAAAGCCCTTCGGGAGCTATTATTATGCTCACACGTATTGCCTCTTTTGTTTGTCATTTAGCCCACAGCGTGTTCAGTGTTGACAAGGCACTTACCCGGGAAACTAAAACAAAAGGTGCATTATTCCCCATAACTCTCGCCTTTCATGTAACGGAATACCTGACATGGATCAACATCACCAACTCGCTTTCATTCATCACATTGCGCTGGGGAGAAGTGGCCCTTTGTGTCAAATAAGTGTCGAATAAAATCGCCCACAGCATGCTCATCGTTTAGAGTAGGAGTGATGCATTTTGCAGCAGAGTCCCCACGAGCTTGACTGCCGAGATATCGTCCCATATGTAAATTGTGAATGATAATGAGCGCCGAATGCTGCACTTGAGTAGACTCGCTTCACCAGACGTGTCCACAATTAGTATGGATAAACAGGGCCTTGGGGACAATTTGTGAGACGTATTTGGTCACTAATGAGGATTGTTCCGAGGCCCGATTTCGCTTCCCAGATTATCGACAGCCTTAGGTGAGAGTTATTTGGGCATCAGTGTACTTCTAGAAGCCTGGCAGTGGAATAGTTCCACGGTTTACAATGGATTGTTCTACTAATGGGCAGATATAGCCTAGCAGGCAGTTGCAATAGCGCAACTGGTTAGACGTAAAATTTACATACGTCATGAATCTGTTTTTGATACATTTACGTTCAATCAAGTTAATAGGAGTTCATGTAGAACCCGCGTATGTGCGGGTTCATAGTGAGTGAGCGAGCGAGCGAGCAGGCATATTGCGGGTTTATAGGGAATGAGCGAGCAGGCGTATGTGCGGGCTTATAGTGAGTGAGTGAGCGAGCGAGCAGGCGTATGTGCGGGCTTATAGTGAGTGAGAGAGTGAGCGAGCGAGCGAGCAGGCGTATGTGCGGGCTTATAGTGAGTGAGTGAGCGAGCAGGCATATGTGCGGGTTTATAGAGAGAGAGCGAGCGAGCAGGCGTATATGTGGGTTTATAGTGAGAGAGTGAGTGAGCGAGCGAGTAGGCTTATGTGCGGGTTTATAGTGAGTGAGCGAGCGAGTAGGCTTATGTGCGGGTTTATAGTGAGTGAGCGAGCGAGCGAGCGAGTGTAGTTTTAAGACGCGTTAACAGTCCAGCAATATAACGACGGGGGACACCATAAATTAGCTTCAGACATTGTAATTATATAGGGAATCCAACCCGAACCATCGGTCTAACGAGCAAACGCTTTAACCACGAGGCTAAACCAACTATTCCTGTTATTATGCAGGGGTGTCCAATAGCAACAGAAACAAAAGTCCGTCAACAAAACCTAATATATTTCTAAAGCTACTGTATTAAGTCATAATCTCATGAGGGGCGGTGGGGTAGCCGAGTGGTTTAAGCGTCGGCTCGTCACGCCGAAGTCCCGGGTTCGATTCCCCACCTGGGTACAATGTGTGAAGCCCATTTCTGGCGTACCCCGCCGGGATATTGCTGGAATATTGCTAAAAGCGGCTTAAAACCATACTCACTCATTCACTCACTCATAATCTGATAATAAACAGCCGGGAAGAATGTGTTGACGGTGTCTGAAACTGAAACAAGAAAGTAATGATCAGTCGATGGTGATGTTTTTTATACGGGCATCATTGTGTTTTAGACCTCACGTTTGCAGTGTTTCGACGACTGTTTTCAGCCTAGTAACGTTTGGAGTGAGTGCGTATGATGTTACGCCGCTTTTAGCAATATTCCAGCAATATCACGGCGGGGGACACCAGAAATCGGCTTCACACATTGTTCCCATGTCGGGAATCGAACCCGGGTCTTCGACGTGACGAGCGAACGCTTTAACCACTAGGCTACCCGACTGCCCCAGTAACGTTTGGAGAATGTTTGTCATTGTTTGGTCAAATCCAAACTTCAAGCATTACTTTCTTTTGCCCGTCAGTTCCACCATATCAATTCCGCCATACCAAAAAGCAATGGTTATGATCCCTGATGAGGGTTAGTTCTGAAATGGATATGATCTATTAATCACCCTGCCTGCAGATCAATAAACAGGATGTGTGTTGAACATGTACTATCGTATCAATAAAGGCACCATATCTATAACACTGTCGTACTCGTATGGTATTGGGCTGGCTAAGCTTAGTATTGAGCGCCGTGTAATGGGGCGCGATGGTTATCGTTGAGCGGTTACGTTAACCACGGAACACGATATTATCTCTTTACAAGACGAACTCTTGTATTACACCCGTTTTCTATATAATGTTAATCAATGCGGTCCCGAAGAGAACAGAGTTTTATATGGCATACCGTAAAGTCTTAATTCGAGGCCCGTTCTACAAAATGTTCTTTTGATTACGATTGTCAAAATACCTCAACTATCTGCGTTCTAGTCGAGGCCGTTTTTTTTATTGCAACCTGGAAACGTATTGATCCGACTATCGCATTTTCATTTTTTAGAATGAGTGAGTGAGTATGGTTTTACGCCGCTTTTAGCAATATTCCAGCAATATCACGGCGGGGGAGGGACACAAGAAATGGGCTTCACACATTGTACCCATGTCGGGAATCGAACCCGGGTCTTCGGCGTGACGGGCGAACGCTTTAACCACTAGCGTTAGTCGCAACTTACGATAGTCGCAACGTTAAGGTAGCTTGGCACGTTGCCGACATCTTCTCGAGGCAAGCGTGACCATTAGCCCATATCAAAGCCTAGTTTCTACCCCGGCCATTTTACTTGGCCCGACCCTGGCGCCACCTCGCGTAGGTCACGAGTTGTGCCCCTTGTAATGAAAACGCGTTATCCAATCAGATCGCTGTTCATATATTTGGCTAGCTCCACACAAATGGCGATTACCATAGGCGACGACTTCGTCGAACAGATAACGAAAACATTCGCGACTTTTTTCTTTTTCTTTTTTTTCTTTTTCTTTTTTTTTGGGGGGGGGGGGGGGGGGGGGGCAGGGAGATCATATTCTTGTAAACAAAGACAAGCAGCGGTAAACCTTTTTCATACGAAGGTGTACCAGTCATTGGTGTTGATTTTGTGAAACGTTCTCCGATTGGAATATCGGTATGTGGGCTTGATGTGGCAAGGAAAGTGGGTTTGATGTGGCAAGGGTGGCAACAAGACTTTGATAAAAAAAAGGCCAGTGGACGCTCTTGCCTCGGGAAGTTAATAGCACTAAAAATTTCGTAAATCCATAAATTGACATGGACCTTCGGTAGTCATCGAGCTAAGTACGTGTTGCGGAAAATTGACGTTGTTCAGGAAGAGAGTGAGTTGGGTTTAACGCCGCTTTGAACAGTATTACAATTATATAACGGCGTGTCAGCTAAACTAGGGAGGAAAGCCCGAAGTGATGCAGGTCTTAGACGTTTACCATTTTGGTGATACCCACGAGCACGGGTATTGTGCTGACAAACCTTGAAACATAATCGGGGCGAAACGATTCGAACCTACGATCATAGGTTTCTGGGGGCGGTCGGGTAGCCTAGTGGTTAAAGCGTTCGCTCGTCACGCCAAAGACCCGGGTTCGATTCCCGACATGGGTACAATGTGTGAAGCCCATTTCTGGTGTCCCCCGCCGTGATATTGCTGGAATATTGCTAAAAGCGGCGTAAAACCATACTCACTCACTTATAGGTTTCTGACTTTCCCAATGGACCCAACTCTATACAGCAAACTGCGGCGCATAAAGACGACTGGCCCACCCATGCTCCCTGTTCACGAAGAGATCTTAGCTTTACGACTATCGTGTGTCAATGCTTAAGTATGGGGAGTAGGACAGTTTTAGGCCTGAGATGCATCGGGGATCGAGGCGGGTGCGGTTTCCATAAAAGTCGGTCCAAAATATCATCAGTTTCTCAAATTCAGATCATATCAAAATTATCAAAGCTTTACGGAAAAAATCTCATTTTCAATCATTTTGTCTTAAAAAGAGCAGAAATGAACAAAGAGCACAGCTGAAAAATAGACGCACGCGCCTCTATAGCTGGAATTACGGAAAATGGTTGTAAAAGTTTAAGTACGGTGTCGTAGCACTGAAAGCAAACCGGTTTGGATTGAACGATAAACGCAATTACACAAAGGATTATTTCATTTTGGGTATTGACACAGCTGGATCAATGCAGTTTCTCTACAGAGGGGATGGAGACGGCAGACACGGGGTTATGGGACAAACATGATGGTATCAGATGTGCTAATGGCTGTTTGTTTGGTTGCAGCGATCGATGCCATGGTAGGACGGCTGGCAGAGTCAGAACAGAGCGACATCACCGACGATGACATTGAGAATCAAGGTTGGTCTTGATGGAGATACACGGGATAAAGTATTGAAATGATTAATTGATTATTAACGATAATGAATTTATTGCTTTTGGTCGGGGATGTGGGTTTATTGATTAACCGATGATTGAAAGGATGAAGTAGAGATTGTTGAATTTATTATGACGCAATAAAGTTGATGTGACTATTTGTAATAAGCTATTAACGTGTAAATGGTTGCGGGTAGATATACATAATGTATAAAACTACAGGTGATAAGTCCATGTTTTTAAATATATTTCCTGCGTGGGCTAAGCTATCACGTTACTGCTGAAATGACCAGAATGTAAAGGAATACCATTATGGTTAGAAAATTATTGAAGAAAAGTAATGCACCAATTTTTAATGAATACCAATTTGTTGAAACTTTGGATCCTCGCACGACAAGTGACGCAACTCAGTGGACTACGACGTCTGAGTCGTTGTTTACACACACACATGTCATTTGTTATGTCAATAGGGGCGGTCGGGTAGCCCAGTGGTTAAAGCGTTCGCTCGTCACGCCGAAGACCCGGGTTCGATTCCCGACATGGGCACAATGTGTGAAGCCCATTTCTGGTGTCCCCCGCCGTGATATTGCTGGAATATTGCTAAAAGCGGCGTAAAACCATACTCACTCACTGTTATGTCAATAACATGGTAAAGGTAGAGTAGCAGGGGAACACTCGTTGACATTAGAAACATGTTCAGTTCCAGCATATATGAGCTCAGAGATACAATAACAATCATTCGAGAAACGGCCTCACCTGGTTACATAAGTACATTGTTTCCTATTGTTCTGTCATAGACGCTGGACACCGTGGGGGTTCCAGGTGAGATTAGCATAGGTCCCCAGCAACCAATTTTGGCCGGAAGAGGCGACGAAATCGATTGGGTGGTCATACTCGGTGACTTGGTTGAATACACCGACGGCGTGCCTCTTTGCTCACGATATCAATCTGTCCGGTAGCCTAGTGGTTAAAGCGTTCGCTCGTCACGCCGAAGACCCGGGTTCGATTCCCGACATGGGTACAATGTGTGAAGCCCATTTCTGGTGCCCCCCGCCGTGATATTGGTGGAATATTGCTAAAATCGGCGTAAAAAACCATACTCACTCACTCACAATATCAATCACAATATCACTAACGGGATCGGGTGATCAAGTTCGCTGACTTGGTTGATGCATTTCATCGATCCCAATTGCGTCGATTGATGCTCATGATATTAAGCACTGGAGAGTCTGGTCCAGACTAGATTGTTTACAGGCCGCCATCATAAGCTGGAATATAGCTGAGTGCTACGTTAAATAACAAACAAACAAACACATATTATATTAACTTTTCGCATTACATAAATTAGTCCCCTGAAGTAGAAATGGAGAAACAATATTTTTATACATATACAATCTCACCCGAGTGGAAATAAGATTGTTTGTTTGCTTATTGTTTAACAACAAACAAACAAACAAAAACTCAATGAATTGTCTGGGCCAGACTGTATTATTTCCAGGCTGCCATCATATAGCTAGAATGTTGGTGGGTGCGGCGTCAAACAAGCAAAACATTAACGATGTGAGGTGAGGTGAAATTGGGTTTAACGTCGCGTCCAAGATTATTGCACTTATATAGCGACGTGCATGCACGTGTTTGTGTGTGTGTGTGTGGCTGCTTGTACTAGTCCGGACTGATGCCGATTTATAGTGCTAGCTCACTGAGATACCATGCCGCAGTTTAACATGAATACCCCACTCAGACACAGTATACTGACTCCGAGCCGACCAGTTCTTGTTTTAGCCCCTTAATGCCGAGCGCCAGACAGGGTAACAACAAGTACCATCTTTAAACGTCTTTTTGTATGACGCGGCCCGGGATCGAACCCTGGACCTTCCGCTCTCCGAGCGGACGCTCTACCACAAGACCACGGAGGCGGTTCATTAACGATGTGTCTAAATGTGACGGTATTGGTGTTGAACAGGTATATACAACAGGATGTCAGCGATGCCGGCTTACTTCAAGAACACGGACAAGAGAGTAGCAACCTACCAAGACAGCACTCCGCCCGAAGCAGGTACGAACACGTCGACTACCATATCTTGAGTGAGTGGGTGAGTTGGGTTTAACGCCGCTTTTAACAGTATTCCAGTTATATCAAGGCGTGCCAGCTTTATGTGGGAGGAAAGCCCGAAGTGATGCAGGTCTCAGACGTTTACCACTTCGGTGAAACCCACGAGCACGGGTATGGTGCTGACAAACCTAGAAACATAATCGGGGCGAACCGGGATTCGAACCCACAATCATATGTTTCTGGCGTGCCCAAGGGACGCAACTCTGCACAGCGAATCGCGGCGCCTTCGACGACTGGGCCACCCGTGCCCCCTCATATCTGGATATTTTCTGAACTAAAAAACTCCCAGAAATAATCATGAGCGCTAACCTTTTTGGTTCAGTATAATTACCTGCGCGTGGCAGCCAGTGATAAAACACGGGACTATAAGTCCTCAGATGCTGTCATTTCATGAAGGATATTCATGACCAATTCAATACCAAATTATGTTATTTATAAACCTAGTAGTATGGAATATCAGGCCACTGCCATTCGCTTTCTCCTGGAACCCCAGATGAATCCCCCCTCGCAAAGTTACCACACACACAACTTCCCATCATTTTTAATCATTAAAAAACCCTTACATTATGTTTTTTTTATATTGTCGGTTCAAATTATCTCATGTATTATTTTCCCTTCAAGGTGAACTGTTGGCATTTTGTGTTCTTAAGATATTTTAGACTAGAAGGAACGCTTTTAATCATTCAAACTAATACCTTCTGACACAAAACAAACTGTTCAATACGTCCATCGAGTTACTTCTAACATCTTGATTCTGTACGAGGTGGCAAGGACATCACTGTTATACCGTTAACAGCCTCTTTATGACGGAACTTCAAAGACGCTGCCATTGGGTGCAATTATTGATTATTGGTTGGAGTGTTTGTTCAAAGCCCTCATTCTGGAGGCATTGACTGGACCAGTGCGTCACGTTGAATACACCAGTGCGTCACGCCTGGAGTCATCTCATACAATGTATGGCCACAATCAACCGTGCACATAAATAGAAGACGGCCACTTTTATCGATTGAATCGACCACCTTGGTTAATTGAATAAACAAATAATAACAAATAATTACATTTTCGTTATGTTCATTGAAATTCCTGTATTCTGATTAGCTGAATTGGTCACGTGTTATTGCATTAATTTCCCAATGAATGTAAAAAATTAAGCCACGCCCACCGAGGCGCACTACTTTTATTACTTCGGAATGTCGGGGAATCCCAATATTACAGTCGAGGGAATTCCCTTTCTGCTCACGTGTATTGTCATGCACAGGGCATTTAGCGACTTCTATGCATATTCATTGTCCAAACAAACCTTTGAAACCGAAGGCCGAGAATGAATGAAATGTGCAGGCTCGCTCGCCTGTTTTTTTTTCTGCTCGCCCCGGTTCAACTTTCATGTCTTCGGGTTTCCTTTCTAACTAGCATTTTTCCAACTGTATTTTACCGTACTCAGGGAAGTAATGTTTGAATCTGGCGGTAACTGACCATGTAATTTGAAACATCCGCCTTCTCCCGGACATATTTCTTCCAGTTCGTTACAGTCTGACTGTTGCAGTTCTTTTCGCCTCTTGTCTTAACTGACAGGTCCAATGAACATTGTTTTAATCCTGCTCTCCGTTGATTGGCTACTGACAGTGTAGGCGTGTCAATTTATGTGCATAAATTAAACAATCACCTGATTCATGTCACGCCACAGTATGTATTCCTACACCTGGAATGTTTATCAATCTCGTCATTTTTGTCTGTTTTGATATATACAACTGTTTTTGGTTAAACTATTGTAGATAAAACATGTTTTATGCTGCCGAATTTAATTATAAGCATTGACTTTGTATTGTTTTCGTTTCATTGAGGTATGAATCGAAAAACCAATGTGCAAACTGTATGAATCCGTATTCTTACAAAAGTTCGCACAATGAACCGAAAAAAATACACAGTCAATCCTTAATTAAATCTTGACCAGGGGACAACAAAAATATAAACTGCCGGGGAAAACCTCTAGTTTTAAAGTATCAAGGAGTGAAAACCCGATAATAAAACTGTTGGGTCAAAGAAAGTATACACCCATGTTTGATGGTGGCGTGAAATGAAACATGCAGAAAATGGTTATCCGTTGGGGATGGATTTGATACGGGTATCATTGTTGTGTTTTGGAAGTTAGGTGCGCAGTGTGTCGGCGACTGATTTTAGCTCAGTTACGTTTTGATAATGTGTGTAATTCTTTTCAAGACCAGTAACATGGGGACCAGGCAGGCCTCGAAAAAGTGAATCTGGTCACTCAAACACCAACTTGTTTGTGCTAACATATAGTGTACAAAATAAAACAATCTAATCGTCCAGGATTATAGTTTTGGCACAGAGATAATCACTCGGCCTCACACATGATAGTAATCATTTTATAGCAATTATCCGTGATTCGGTAATCCAGACATTTGTTAATATATTTACATGAAAGGAAACGTCTGGATTTACGGGGTTACACTTGAACTTGAAAGGAACATCAGAAGAGCTGGTATCAATATTTATACTCGCTCTTCCATAGGAGATATCGCCATTTAATATATGCATAGTGTAAAAGACAGTGGGGTTTCTGAAGATTTGAAACGTAATATTTTCATTGCAGTGAACAGAACACGTGATATTTCACTGTAGTGAACATAACACTTTGGCGGAACTATTGTCTTACAAGAGTTACCTCCCAGCCAATTATCTCCCTTTATCATAGGTGTTTGGCCCGTACACTGTTTACTTTCAATTTACGTTAGTTCCACATTGAAATTGCAAAGTAATGACAAATGGTCATTTATGGAGTCAATATAGCTTCTTGTCGTGTGTTATTCTCTTGAAAATGTTTCGTTTTAAACTGTAATTTGTCATTTGTCGCAAAACGACATATTTGTTGACCAGCGTGTATTCCTTCGCCTCCAACAATGGTCTCGTAGATATCAAGAATATTTTTTGTTGATGTTGACTTTGTATATAATCATATCCAAAAGTATGCTAAAGACTAATTTTTGTGTGTCACTTTTGTTTATATTTTTTTCAACAAGGGTTGCGGAAACGTCCCTGAGTGTTACGTAGGGAGAATGTATGTTTCAAGGTTATACATTTGTAATGAAATAATTCAATTTTCAGTGGACAACTACACAAAAGTATATAACAAATAGGATATCTCATGTGGCGAGTGAAATATCTCTCATCGAGTGACAGGGTGAAAGGAGATATTTTCACGAGTGGCTATGCTCACTGAATATCCACTGTTTATTTAATGAACTTGCATCACAATGCTTTGGAAACCATTGTGACGTCATCGGCTTCCATGACGTCACAAACAAATGACATCACTAATTTCTCTGACACTGAAGCCTGTTAGCTCTACGTTTTTACACTGAGACAGGTAATTACTGATTACAAAACAGGAAAATTTTGCAAATAGTCATTGGACGATAAATAAAATCTCACCTTTGTGTCTTCCAAGTTTAGTTATATCAAGACTCGTTGATAACAGAAAAATATTCTCGGCAAGCCGAGGATATTTGAAACTTTTATTAAAATAGTCTTGATATATCTGATCTTGGAAGACACTCCGGTGAGACTCTACAGAGATGCATGTTTTTAAAATGGTGAGATAATTAAAATATACTGAACAATATAAGATTTATTTATGAAATTGTGTCTTCACTACAAAATAATATTACTCCAAAATTCACGATCCTTAACTTTCTGTTAAGTATATTTAGTAAGAAAGAAAACATATGCCATGTTCGTCAGAAATGTATTAATGTTAGACCGTCGATTCAACAAAAGTTGACTTACTACATTCAGAGTGATGTAAAAATTCTCAATCACAATAAATAATAACACAGGCAGTTGGAAATACGTATTCTGCAGAACCGTTAAACTGCGCATTAATATTGAAATGATAATATACATTAGTTCTATGTCAAACCAAAATAAAAACTGGCCCAGAGTCCAAAGTGAGTGAGTGAGTTGGGTTAACGCCGCTTTTAACAGTATTCCAGTTATATCGCGGCGTGTCAGCTTAATGGTGGGAGAAAAGCCCGAAGTGATGCAGGTCTCAGACGTTTTCCGCTTCGTTCAAACCCACGAGCACGGGTATGGTGCTGACAAACCTAGAAACATAATCGTGGATAACCGGGATTCGAACCCACAATCATAGGTTTCCTGGTGCGCCCAAGGGACGCAACTCTGTACAGTGAATCGTGGCGCCTTAGACTCCCCAGAGTCCAAAGATTACATGATGAAAATAATAAAACTGCCGCGGAAGCAATTTCCGTACCCTCCTGTAGCATAGCGAACTGTTATTCATCAAGAGCACAGTCCCACTGCGAGTTGTATTACCACAGCTGTAACTTATACAGACCACAATCAGCTCAATAAAGTAAATTATTGCTTTAGCGGAGTGGCATTGAAACCATTCGTGTTATAATTATCCAAAGTTCGATCCCATGGGAATATAACCAACACAAAAATTAAATTTACGGTTCTGATGGGTAAGAATCCTTATTAACGACGAATGGGGGGCAGAATTAGATACTTTGTTATTTTTCAAATATCCCCTTATGATTTGATGGGATTTTAAACAATTATAATAATTTGTTTCAGAAAAAGATTAGGCCTCAGGTTTTAAATTCCCCATTTCCCAAAAAACAAAATGCGGTTTGAAGTCGTAAGTGACAAAATACCTTAATAATAACTAAAGTGAGTGAGTATGGTTTTACGCCGCTTTAGCAATATCCCAGCAATATCACGGCGGGGGACACAGGAAGCGGGTTTCACACATTGTACCCATGTCGGAAATCGAACCCGTGTCTTCGGCGTGACGAGCGAATGCTTTAACCACAAGGCTATCCGACCGCCCCCTTTGAGCCTATAAGAATAGCCGTCCAATCCAACTATTGTCATGGGCTAGAGCAATGTTGTGTTACTTTAGTGATACTGAATGCGTGAGTATGGTTTTACGCCGCTTTAGCAATATTTCAGCAATAACTGAAGCCTCGGAACATTACATGGTGGTTCCGTAACCTATGTTTGACATTCCAGGTGTGTGTCCCTCTGAAGAGCTGCTGACTGACTGCAAGTTCGCCGACCTACAGGGTTTACCTATCGATGATGAGGCCAGAGAGCTGTGTAACAGACATGAGATGTGTTATACTTGTGTAAGTAGAATCCCGTTATCTTTTCGCAGTGCACCTGGCTCTCGTTCCACAACGCGATCATAGCGCTACGACTATCATAAGCCTTTGTTAAAGTATCACCTTAGGGCTAAGATCGCTTTGTGGAACGGGGCCCTGAACCGCAGAGCGGCAAGCCTCAGCGAGATGATTTCGACATCGAGAACGAGAAATTAACTTTTAAATTTTAATTTCAGTCTGGGGAGAAATGAGGGCTATACTCGTTATATGATTAAATATTTATTTGTAATTGAACCGTTCTATAAAAGTTCTTGTTCTGACATCGTGAATACTGCAGATGCTAGCGTCGTGATATTTAGTCGATTTGGTATCTTTATGTGCATATATTTGTGACTAGGACGGTATCTAGGTCGAAGAGTGAATGAGTGAGTGAGTATGGTTTTACGCCGCTTTTAGCAATATTCCAGCAATATCACGGCGGGGGACACCAGAAATGGGCTTCACACATTGTACGCATGTCGGGAATCGAACCCGGGTCTTCGGCGTGACGAGCGAACGCTTTAACTACTAGGCTACCCGACCGCCCCCCTAGGTCGAAGAATATACACCAGTCTATTGTGCGATTGCTTTACACTGATAGTATTAGTAGAAGTATTGGCAATATAAGTATTTGTAGTATTCTGAACCGCAAAAGAAACGACACTTCACGAAAATGAGCATGACAGTTTCCCATTAAAGTATCAATGCATTTATGGGAAGTATCTCGTTTTTGGCTTTAGTCTGTATCCAAATGTAATGTAACGGCAAAACGTGACGAATATGGATATAATGGGCGCCAAAACGCAGCTTAACAATTATAGAAGAAGTAGTAGCATCAGTAATAATAGTAGCAGTAGTACGAGTAGCAGCAACAGCAGTAGGAGTAGTAGCAGCAGCGGTAGTAGTAATGGTGGTAGTAGTAGTAGTAGAAGTAGTAGTAGCAGCAGTAGTAATAGTATAAGTAGTAGTAGTAGTAGTAGTAGTGGCAGTAGTAGCAGTAATAGTAGTAGTAGTAGTAGCAGCAGTAGTAGAAGTAATAGTAGAAGTAGTACCAATAGCACTAGAAGTGGTAGTAGTAGTAATAATAGTAGTAGTTGTAGTACTAGAAAAAGTTGCTGTATTAGTAATAGTAGAATGGTAGTAGTAGTAGTAGTAGTAGTAGCAGCAGTAGTAGAAGTAGTAGAAGTAGTACCAATAGCACTAGAAGTGGTAGTAGTAGTAATAATAGTAGTAGTTGTAGTACTAGAAAAAGTTGCTGTATTAGTAATAGTAGAATGGTAGTAGTAGTAGTAGTAGTAGTAGCAGCAGTAGTAGAAGTAGTACCAATAGCACTAGAAGTGGTAGTAGTAGTAATAATAGTAGTAGTTGTAGTACTAGAAAAAGTTGCTGTATTAGTAATAGTAGAATAGTAGTTGTAGTAGTAGTAGTAGTAGTAGTAGTAGTAGTAGTAGTAGTAGTAGTAGTAGTGACCCGCGAAGATCCGGGTTAGAATAGGTCTTCAGCAACCCATTCTTGTCGTAAGAGGCGACTAACGGATCGGGTGGTCAGGCTCGCTGACTTGGTTGATGCATGTCATCGTATCCCAAATGTGTGGTAGTTGTAGAGGTAGTAGAAGTAGAACGAAGACATCAAATTGTTGCAGCAATTGTTAGGTACAAGTATGTGAAGGAGAAAGAGCTGCAAAGTGGGAGATGTTTGGACTTGTATACTTATCATGCTTGATTATCTCCCCTTAGGGCGCTACTTCCCGTGTGAAGCAGGGCGAGTGCGACAGCCTCTACCGTGCCGATGCTGATGCGCTGTGTGATGATGATGGCGACTGTGTGATAGAAGCCGAACTCTTCCTCCGGGAACTCAAGCTGAAGCACCGTTACAGCACGTACTACGAGCCAGCCTGCGATAACTCCTGCACAGAGGAATATATTGGTCTCTAGAGGGCTCTGCAGAGTTAATTCCCCTGTCTCCCAGAGACGGGAGTGTTTACGACTGATTGACCGAAACAAACGTTTGTCCGACCAACCGGTGACGTGAAGCAATTTGCGGATAGCATTGGCTACGACTGATTGTTGAAAGGATTGTATAGCAGGACAGGCTTGAGAAGGCGATGAAGGAATAAGAATTTAACCCATGAGATTGGACTTCCCACCGTGTGGAAACAATAGACGGAGTGATATTCACGTATTAGCCGTAGTTTTGTCAAACACGGATGGTTCAAAATCATTTACATCAAGACAACCAGAAACCACTCATTGGTGTATTCGTTTTAATCATTAGGTGTCTTTCTAAAGCAAAGTATAGACGGTACTGGTTTGCGTTCTGCTTGAGTTTGTTGGTAGACTGTTTGGTGCTAGATACTACGTTGGGTTAAGAGAGTACTTAAAGATATATTTATTTTAACAGAGATGATTTTGCAAGCTAAATGGTTTCATTATATTGTTAATAGACAATTCTCACCTTAGATGTCGTTCTGTGGTCTTGTTTATGTTGGTTTCAGATGTCGTTCGTGCTAAAATAATCATATTCACTTTAATTGTGCCAGGTGTGTCGTAACATGGAGTTTAATAAGTTACATAAGTGGTTGTTACATTGTCACCGTTACTCTGCGTTTAATTACCAAGAACATTATTTCCGAACGCTCGAGCTTATAGTAATGTTCACGTTGACAATCAACTGTTTTTCATATACATATCTGCTCTATGGTCAAGTATCAGTAAGATGCTGAGAGTGTTGTAACATTTGCAACGTAAAACTAATCGCGCCAAGAACTCCTTCAAGAAATTAATTCCAAGGTCAGTGACCGGTTACAAATTTAGTCCCAAACCGTCCGTGACATACGGATAACATACAAAAATGTATGTCGCAGTCATGTCGTATTTTAGATTTGAAGATCAGTCGCAAATCCTTTTTGAAATAGTTATTAGATGTTCTGATAAACTGATGTCATAACTTTATCATAGAAACTATGTTATATATTCATGTAATCACAGTCACAACTTGTTGATGGCAACCTTCAACCACTTTGGTTCTGAGATGTTTACAGACATGATATTTCATTATGTTTACAAACAGAAATATTTCTGTCATCTAAACCCACCGAGGAAACACAGCATACAGATGTTTCATTGAGAACCTCATCTTTCTAGCTATCCACAATATATTGTGATGAATGATTTCTACGGGAGTAATGTGCCCTCCAACGGACAGGTTGAACTGTCTTTGGTCATTAAGATACCGAAACATGTTCAATTGATGTACAACATGTAAAGACCTGTGAAGATCCGGCGTAGAATAAATCGCCAGCAACCCATACTTGCCGTAACAGGCGACTATGCTTGCCGTAAAAGGCGACTATACTTGTCGTAAGAGACGACTAACGGGATCGGGTAGTCAGACTCGCTGACTTGGTGCATGTCATCGTATCCCAGTTGCATGGGTCGATGCTTATGATGTCAATCACTGGACTGTCTGGTCCAGACTCGATTATTTACATATCCCCGTCATATAGCTAGACTATTACTGAGTGTGGGGTTAAAATAACAAACAAAATGTAAAGCTGTAAAAACCAGTCAAAACCAGATTTCTTCCGACACAGAAACAAGTATAATGCTGAAATTTGTAAGAAACGCGACAAAACCCTAATTAAAATTATCACCACTGGGGACATGGGGTTTATCATGTATTTGACACCTCTGTTCCAACGTATGACAAATTAACCGTCTAACCGTCGATTGTGCATATATAACATCCAATAACATGTTGATAGAAGCATACTTGTAAGTACCATTTTTTCTGTTTTCAAACTCCGGCGAATCGTCAGTCGACTGAGAAATTGAACAACCATCTCTCCACAGCTGACGAAACACTGGTTAGAACATATGATAAAAACAATGAGATAAATAAGACATAGAACACGCCCAAATATTTTTTACTTTACTGCATCAGTTATTTCAGGATTCTGTTTCAAATAAAACCCTCTGATCTGTACCACGTGATCGCACCATCGATAATAAACAATATAGGGCTGTATTCGTACACGTGTTTCCATGGTTACCATGCTAACGTTTTTTTTGCGAATATTTTTGTTATTTTAGAAAATTGTTATATTTATCTAGACAGGGTAGGGTTACTGTATCGCTTGTAACATTGTCTCAGTAAGCCTGCTTTTCTACTCGAGCACTCCTGATACTGTTTCATGTTGATTGTTGACCCTGTTATTTCTGCCAAGTTTGCTGTCTATCAATCAAAATCCATCTGTAAATTATTGTTGAAAATAAATGACTGTGATAAATGGCTTTGTGTTTGTGTACTTTACAGGATGTAATTCACGGAGTGAGTGAGCATAGTTTTACGCCGCGTTTAGCAATATTCCAGCAATATCACGGCGAGGGACACCAGAAATGGGCTTCACACATTGTACCCATGTCGGGAATCGAACCCGGGTCTTCGGCGTGACGAGCGAATGATTTAACCACTAGGCTACCCGACCGCCCCTCGGAACAAAAGAAGTTTTGTGTAGTGAATATGCCCAATAATATTCATCATTCACATTTCATGAATGAACTTTTCAGGTTCATGATCAGTGTATGTTTATTTAGCGTTGAATGTTTCGAAGACAATTAAAGTGCCATGCTACGCCGCTTTCAGGGTTGTTCCAGCAACAACAATGCGTGGACTATAGAAGAGGGCTTAGAACACGGTACCTATGTGAGGAAAGGAACCCGGGCCTTGGGCGTGACGTGTGAACGTTTTACCCCATCCAGATCCCAGTCCACCCAGGGTGGATTGGACAAGAATGGTTTTACGCTGTTTTAAGCAATATTCCAGAGAGGGGTCGAAAGAGTGGAGTTTTCACAATGTGTTGTTTGTTTGTTGTTTAACGCCGCACTACTCCAGCTATATGACGGGGGTCTGTAAATAATCGAGTCTGGGTCGTGAGCATCGATCCACGCAATTGGGATACGATGACATGCATCAACCAAGTCAGCAAGGCTGACCACCCGATCCCGTTAGTCGCCTTTTACGACAAGGATGGTTGCTTGACACCTGTTCTTATACCCGGACCTTCACGGGTCTTTTCACAATGGATCTATGTGGGAATCTAGCCGGGGACAGGTGTAACGAGCAAGAGCTTTTGCCGCTGAGCTGCCACACTCACCTTCAGTATGTTTATAGACATGTACGCAGAATGTCGGGATGAATAGTCGTTGGCTAAAGTAGAACAATCACCTCATCTGGGACTTGCATCACACAAGACACAGAGTGGACGGTATATATTATATTTACGCTCACCAGTGGGGAATCCTGGTCCGACTAGGTACCAAACACCACATGTTTGTCTACAAGGCAACTAAATATCTGGTGGTCAGGCTATTGCATATTGCGTTGTCATCTCATGTGACAAAGTGCATATTGCGTTGTCATCCCATGTGACAAAGTGCATATTGCGTTGTCATCCCATGTGACAAAGTGCATAATACGTTGTCATCTCATGTGACAAAGTGCATATTGCGTTGTCATCTCATGTGACAAAGTGCATATTGCGAAGTCATCTCATGTGACAAAGTGCATATTGCGTTGTCATCTCATGTGACAAAGTGCATATTGCGAAGTCATCTCATGTGACAAAGTGCATATTGCGTTGTCATCTCATGTGACAAAGTGTATATTGCGTTGTCATCTCATGTGACAAAGTGCATATTGCGTTGTCATCTCATGTGACAAAGTGCATATTACGTTTTCATCTCATGTGGCAAAGTGCATATATGGATATCAACTTCTTTATTATGAGGAACACAACGTTTCGGAGTATATGCTTGCTCCTTCATCGGGTGAATGAATGCCATGAGGCAGAGAGCATATATATGTACATGTAAGGACATCAAAATTAATAAGATAACAAAAGGTGGAAAATAACAATGGGTAGAAACTAACAAGGGAGAATTCAACAGATTATTGGCGCTGATAGGTGATTAGCAATAGACAATGGAAGCCAACACTTTACAGTAATTAGCGCTGATGGTATGGAAGCCAGTACTTAAGTTATCATAGATAAGTAATAGGTAATGGACACTGGGAAAACAAAAAGGCCGGGGTAATTTGCACTGATAGGTGGAAGAATAGAACATAACTGATATTTTCTGTTTAATCCTATAGCATTGACATTTTCTCTGCTTAATCTTACATAACTGATAGTTATATATTTAATCCTATATAACTGATATTTTCTGTTTAATCCTATAGCATTGACATTTTCTCTGCTTAATCTTACATAACTGATAGTTATATATTTAATCCTATATAACTGATATTTTCTGTTTAATCCTATATAATTGACATTTTCTCTGTTTAATCTTACATAACTGATAGTAAAATATTTAATACTATATAATTGATATTTTCTCTGTTTAATCTTACATAACTGATAGTAAAATATTTAATACTATATAATTGATATTTTCTCTGTTTAATCCTACACAACTGATAGTTCATGTTTAATCCTAAATAATTGATATTTTCTGTTTAATCTTACATAAATGATAGTAATATATTTAATCCTATATAACTAATATTTGCTGTGTTTAATACTATATAACTGATATGATGCATGTTGATTGACTTGGTTGATGCATGTCATCGTATCCCAATTGCGTGGATCGATGGTGATGATGTCAATCACAGGTGAGGTGAGGTGAAATGGGGTTTAACGTCGCGTCCAAGATTATTGCACTTATATGGCGACGTGCATGTACGTGTGTGTGTTTATGTGGCTGCTTGTACTTGTCCGGACTGATGCCGATTTATAGTGCCAGCACACTGAGATACAATGCCACAGTTTAACATGAATACCCCACTCAGACACAGTATACTGACTCCGAACAGACCAGTCCTTGTTTTAGCCCCCTAATGCCGAGCGCCAGACAGGGTAACAACAAGTACCATCTTTTAACGTCTTTTGGTATGACGCGGTCGGGGATCGAACCCCGGACCTTCCGCTCTCTGGGCGGACGCTCTACCACTAGACCACGGAGGCGGCCGTGACATCAGTAAATCACAGGATAACATGGATGTGGTCCAGAGTCGATTATTTTCAGACCGCCCTCATATAACTGGAATATTGCGGAGTGCGGCAAACAAACAAACAAACAAACAAACAAACAAAAACAACTGCTACATGCACGCACTTGAGTCGCCTGTAGAGTTATGTTATTGTGCTGAAAACTCTGACTTGTCAACTCACCCAATTTCTGCACCCACAGCAGTTTCCTATTAAACATACATTTGGACCTAAAGTTTTGTGTAGAACACTTTACTGATGGTATTTCGGATCATTCCCGAAGTATTGAATTAAACGTTGACATCCAAGCACGGATGGAGCGGGGTCATGTTTTCAGATGGGACCCGGGGGATGGCAAACAGGAAATCAAGTCTGATGGTTGATGAACCGCCTCCTTTCCGAGTACAAGAGACCTTTCTCATGGGAGAATCAATCGACACCAATTTCCGATGAATCCCGAGTGATTCCGATTTTAACCACAGAGTTACACAAAGGATATTGTGAAATCGCATTTGCACGTGGGCGACTGATGGACGGGGTGACGTGGCTATCGATAACATCGCCGACGACGTCATGGCCGACCAGATATGTGGGAAGGACGTTTTGAGTCAGTGGATCAGAGCTGTATACTGATAATGCTGGGCCTTGTGGTTAAATCGTTCGCCCGTCATGGGTTCGATTCCCGACATGGGTGCAATGTGTCAAGCCCATTTCTGGTGTCCCCCGCCGTGATATTGCCTGAATATTGGTAAAAGTGGCGTAATACCATACTCAATCACTGTAAATGTTTAATTTGTTTTGATGTTTTAAATACCTGGAAAATAAGTAAACACCACAGAAATCAAAATGACACAGAATGATAAGTTTGGAAAATGAGTAAGATCTATCCATATGTCAGATATTATGGCCCTTTTCCCGCACCATACCAGTGCAAAACCACCACCAACGCGCTTGATTTTGCACACACTGCTGGTGTCCCCCGCCGTGATATTGCTGGAATATTCCTAAAAGTAGCGCAACACCATACTCAATCACTGTAAATGTTTAATTTGTTTTGATGTTTGAAATACCTGGAAAATAAGTAAACACCACAGAAATCAAAATGACACAGAATGATAAGTTTGGAAAATGAGTAAGATCTATCCATATGTCAGATATTATGGCCCTTTTCCCGCACCATACTAGTGCCAAAACCACCACCAACGCGCTTGGTTTTGCACACACTGCACCTGAAGCACAACAAAACCAGTGAAATGTCCCAAAACACTGCAGGTACGCATTTCTCAACAAAGTCTGCATGCTCTTTACAAAGCATTATCCTGGCACGTCTTAG